TAGACCCTCGAAAAGGCTTCACTTGGAAATTTCGGATTTTGATACGGTTGCTCTAAAATTTGGGTTAGACCCATTTCCCACTCAATTTGACCCCCTAAACAAGAATATGAAGTCGGATTTTCGAAAAACGAAACGGATTTTTTTATATATAGCTAAACAAGTTTCCGGTAACTTCCGAAGCACATTTTTAAGAACTTTTTGGGTCATTTTAAGTGATTCGGGTCTCCGGACAAATCGGCATCAGCGTACATGTAAAGATTGTTGTCTGATTTGTGAAGTATTCAAAGACCTAAAGTTGTTGTGGCTTTAAGATACCGTAGTATCCTCTTAACAACCTTCCAGTGTTCATTAGTAGGTTCATGCATAAACTGTGATAGTTTGTTGATTGCATAAGAGATATTAGGCCATGTGAATGATAAGTATTATAACTTACCAAGGGTGCGCCTGTAGAGTTTAGCATTAGCAAGAAGAGAACCATCAGCTGCCCGAGGTAGTTTACCGGAGCACATTGGAGTCAAGACTCCTTTACAATCTAGCTTATCCAATTCCAACAAAATGTCAAGAATGTATTTGGATTGAGAGAGACTAATCCCATCTGACACTTTTTTAACTTCGACACCCAAAAGGTAGTCTAAGTAACCAAGATCATTCAAAGAAAATTGAGAACCCATGGAATCAATAACATGTCTAATCAAGCTGGGATGCCTTCCTGTGATCAAAATGTCGTCAGCATAGACGAGTACATAAACAGTTTGAGCGAAATTCTTCAAACTAAACAGAGAAGCATCAGATTCAGACTTGATAAAGCCCATTGTTGTTGATGATTGTGCAATGCAGTATACCAATCTCACGGGGCTTGTTTAAGACCATAAATGGCCCTTTTCAATTTGCAAACATGAGAAGGGAAATGAGAATTAACAAAGCCTTGAGGTTGAGACATAAAAACCTCTTCAGTCAACTGGCCCTACAAGAAAGTAATGTTGACATTGAGTTGATGAATGTGCTAATATAATTGTGATGCACTGCTATGGATAAGACAAGATGCACTGTTGTCGGCTTGATAACAGGACTGAAGGTTTGATGAAAATCTAAGCCAGGGTGTTGCGTGAATACCTTTGCAACAAGGCGAGCTTTGTATCGATTGATAGATCCATCTACTTTTCATTTAATGCGGTACAACCATTTGCATTTCACAACATTCTTCCTTGAGTCTAATTTTGGTACCTATTCCCAAGTCTGATTCTTCATCAAAGCATCACATTCTACTTTCATAGCTTGTCTCCATGTGCCATGGATAGTAGCTTGTTTGAAAGTTGCTAGTGTAGGAGTGAAATGGGTGAGAAAACTAAATTGTCGTTTAGGCTTGATAATATTATTTTGGGACCTAGTGGTTATTCGGTTTGGTGTAGGCTCTGAAGTGGGCATGGGAGGTTGTTCTGGGGAGGGGTTAGGAGATGATTGGGTCGGGGATTTTCTCTGGCAAGAAGTGAAAAAGTCGACAAGGGTGAATTGATGGCTGTAGATGGAGTTGTCTGGGTTTGTTGTAGAGTTTTGGTGTTGGAGTTACGTCTTTGATATGTTATCAAAGGAACATGGTGTGTGTGTTAAGTGGTGTGATGGCGGGAAAAAGGAGAAGAAAGTGGAGAATTACCTGGATTAGTAGCAGCTACTGGTACTTGGTCGGAATTGAAGGAGCGAGTATCATTCACTAATGGTCCAGGCAAATTAGATCTTAAGGAGAGTGGTACAGGTGGTAGTAGATCGGGTGATGGATTTGGATTGCAAACTGATGTTGAAGTATCTTTTGTGGAGTCAACTTCTTCCCATACGGTTGAGAAAATTTATTCCTTACATCTAAAAATAGAGTTCTGGAAGGAAAAATGTTTTCAAATAAATGAACATCACGACTGATGTATATTTTGAACTTGACTAAGTCAAAGCAGAGGTGTGCATGATGGCTTGGAGAGACACCTAGATACACACAAGGGGTGGACTTAGGCTCCAACTTATGTTTGGTATACGATTTAAGCCATGGATAAAAAAAACAACCAAAAACTTTAAGATTGGCATAGGTGGATGGTTTACCAAATAATATTCGGTAGGGTGAGTCGTTAGTTAAGATGGGCGTGGGTAGTCGATTAATGAAATCAAAAACATGATGACAAGCAAAAGACCATAGTTCTGGTGGAGGGGATGCTTCATGGAGAAGGGTTTTGGCTATCTCAATGATATGACGATGACGACGTTCAACTATGGCTACACGTTGTGGTGTGTAGGGAGGTGAATCTAAATGTTCAATGCCATTATGTTGAAGACAGAACTGAAGACCTATGTATTCACCCCCTCCATCCGTATAAAGAGATTAAACTTTTGTTTTGAAATTTTTTTCTGCCAAAGGGCGATTTTTTTTTAATAAAGATGTGTCCTCACTTTTATTTTTGATTGTATACAACCAAGTATACTTGGTGTACTAGTCAACAAAAATACAGTAATATAACTTTTTGTTGAGTGATAGAATAGGTGATGGTCCCCATAAATCGTTAAACAGAATCTAAAGAGGACTATTACTTGATAAAGTTAGGCGTTGGAATGGAAAATGATGTGCTTTATTAGAAGAACAAGCATTACAAAATTCAAATTTGTCCTTAGTAGCCACAGGTAAGGAAAACTTATTCAAAACAAATTTTAAAATCGTTGAATGAGGATGGCCCAAGCGAGAATGCCATAGCTGAAAGGGGACTTTTGCGGAAGCGAGATTGATGGATGGTGGTGGGGTTGCTTGATGCGGCCACTCATAGAGTCCATTCTTATTCCGACCTTGTACCAGCGGCTTCTGAGAATGCAGGTTCTTCAGAAGAAAAGTAAAAGGAAAAAATTCAACAGATGTTAGATTGTGTTGACAAAACTTGGCGACATAAATCAAGTTTTTTATATTGATGGAGCACAAAGACTATTAGAAAGCCAAAAAGCAGAATTAGATGCTTGTATAAGAGATGAACCAGTATCAGTAATAGGAATGGTGTTACCGTCACCCATGGATATGCCCTCATTGCTTGTATACTCCTTAATATTGTGTGGTTCAGTGGTCACATGATAAGTTGCACTAGAATCCAAAACCCAAGAATAGAGGCAAAGTTGGCCTTAGCTTCAAAATGGTTGTGCGATTTGGAACGACATACATCTGCAGTGTTACCAAATTTTTGGCATAATTGGCAGCGAACAGATGGTCTCGAATTCGACCTCCAGTTTTGCTGACTGTTGTTGTTGGACTATTGAGTTATAGGTGATTTCCATTGGTGATTGTTGAAGCGATGAATGTTCCTATTAGACTGGGGTGGCATGTTCGTCTTCTGTGAGACAGCAGTTGTGATTATGGAAAAAGATTTCTCAAGATCCTGGTGCTTGAGAAAAAGCTCATGATCTATGAGCTTGTGAAACAACTCTTCAAAACTCAAGGAAGAATCCCTTGCTCATATGGAAGAAGAGATTGCACGATACTCAGGGTCCAGACAACTTAAAATCTTATCAATAAGTTCATCATTTGTTATTGGTGATCCAACAATGTTGAGCGCATCAGAGAGAGAGCGAACCTCTTGTAAGTATTCCGTAATGGATTTACAAGCTTTCCTGAGATTTTGCAATTGGTCTTGCAAGCTAAAAATGTGAGTGTGGCTCTTATTTGCGTAGGCCGTGTGAAGAAGTTCCAATGCTTTTTGAGCAGATGGAGCCGTTGCGACAGTTGGCGCAATGGTAGGATCAACAGATGCCATCATGGCTTGTTGAATCAGTTCTCCTGAGAGAACCAGACTTGATATTGGGGATTAGGCAGAAGAATGTTATCATGGGTAACATTCATTGTTGGTGCCGATTTTGATCCGTCAAGATGTCCCTTAAGTTGATCGCCATTGAGTAGCATCACAAGTTGGGCTTTCCAAGTTGAGAAATTGAGGTTACCATGCAATTTGATAAGTAACTAAGATGCGGGGTTAAATTGTACCACATGAATGATAGAAGAAGCGACAGAAGCACTGCTATTGGAAACAGTAACATCACAAAAAGTGATAACTAAAGGGATTGTGTCGCCAGCCATAGATGGGAAAAAAATCTGACTCGTGAGAGGTTATGATGCCTCGGATACAATATAAAATCAGATAGACTAAAGTAGTCGAAAAGATAATCTTATTCATTAAGTATCTAAACTTTAAATACTACAGATAAGACCAACGTACAACTAAACTTAAGGAAACTAACTACAACCTGAACATATAAACAATAGGGGGAGTCTTCTATTGATACTCTAAAATAATCTCTTAAGTAACTAATAATTACAGTAACGAATTCTTAATACTTGAAAGGTATTGGTTTCTAAGATAGCAACATTGCATCTTTCATATATCTTAGAAAGGGACTTTTTCTTCAAAACTGGTGAATCGAGTGAGGATTCCCCGTATGATTATTCATCTTTTCATCAAGAAGCATTTGACAGTCCATTTAGTTTTTCTGAGCCAACTGATTGTGTCGCAAGTTCTGAAAACCTGAATTATCTTTCTCAATTTGCTCCTTATCCAAGTTCCAACGAGCATGCTCATCCATTACTACATCTGGTGGAAATATGCTTTTTTTGCAAATTGAAAACTCTATAACCCTTGGATTGTGATGAATAACCAATGTAGATCCCCAATTCACCTTTTGGTTAAAGTTTACTTCTTTTGACTGAAGGAACATCAGAATAGCAAATTGAGCTAAAGATTTTGAAGTGATTCGCAAATGGTCTTATTCCACTCGATGACTGAATATGAGTTTTCCATCCACGACTTTAGTTGGAAGCCTATTTATCAAATACATTGAAGCATAAATAGCTTCTGCCCAAAATCTTTGCGGTAGTTTCTTCTCAAGCTACAAACATCTAGCCATTTCAACAACAACCATGTTCTTCCTCTCCAAGACTCCATTTTATTTAGGTGAACAACTTACTATCGACTTGTGATCAATCCCCATATCTTCACAATACTTATTGAACTCATTAGAAGTGTATTCACCCCCATTGTCTGACCTCAAATCCTTTAGCGTACAACCACTTTGTCTTTCTGCAAAATCTCTAAATGTAACACCTCGAATTCGAGAAAGTAAAAAAAATGCAGATTTCCAGAAGCTAGTATCAAAACAAACGGAAACCATCCACAGACTATAGGTGATATACCGTGAGTTTACGGTATTTCTAATACATTTCACTTACAAGTTGTGTGTGTCTAGGGCCTTTTTGTATTGGTTTTTATGTATTTTTATCATGTTTTGCAGGAAAGGTGTTCAGGCGCGGAAGTTTAGAGACAGCTGAAGGAATTGCAGAAAAAGGGCATCCACGGAGGTGATCTACGGACCGTAGGTCCATCCACGGTCCGTAGGTTATGATCGTAGATCAGCAGGCATGGTATTGAGGACAAATCAGGGAAATCTGACCAAGTGTGGAACCACGGTACCCATTGACGGTCCGTAGACTGATCTACGGACCATACTGTTGAAACGTAAAGTGATATTGCGAGGGTTCCAGTACTTAATTTTTGAAGATTCTAAGTGTGGAGCTACGGAGGGGATACGGTCCGTACTGCTAGTCCGTCGTTTGCTTCAAAGAAGCTGATTTTTGGA